GGGGGGGGGGGGGCATATGTTTCACACAAGTCGGCAGGGAAGGAAAAAAAACGGAAAGAGAAGGGGAAAAAAACATTGTGAGTTAGGAATGTGAAGATCTTGCAACAAGGACGCATGGAATAATGTGTTCTAGATGGACAAGGCGGTTTCTGATAGTTGTTGTTCGACAAGAAGAGGAGGGTACATAACATGGTATACGTATTATAGCCTTCCTCTACAAAAAGTTGCCTTCCTCTAAAACGCTGCCTTCCTCTAAAACGTTGCCTTCCTCTAAAACGTTGGCCACGCGTCGGTCCTCGCACGTCGGCCGAAAATGGGAAGTGATTCCACCGTGTATCAACGTTCGTTCCTGTCCACTTTTGGCCGACAGGTTTGAAATATCTAGTGGCCTATGGCCTGGCCAGAGGGAGACGGCCTTGGACGAAGTGGCACTGGGAGCAAAGAAAACAGTCGTGCATAGATGGGGAATGGTACAATGGAGTCCCTGTTTCGTACTAGTGCCCGGAACAGTGTCGGTCAAGTATCTAGGTACGAGTGTCCACTCCTATTCGAACACATGTACATCCCTGTGCGCCAGTGTCCGTTTTAGTGCCGGTGATTTTTGAGTGTGAGCAAGGGGGAAACTAGCGCATGGGTAACAGGCAGGGGCATTAATTACGGGCGAACGGAGGAAGGCCTCGTCAAGGCTCAGGGAAAGGAACAACTACTCCGCAAAAAGAAAGCTGTCTGCAGAGGCCGGAAAGCGGAAGAGCGCCACCACCTACACGAGGTGAACACCCCCGGGAACGCTAGGCTCAGATCTGCCATGTTTTAGAAAAAATATATACATAGTGAAGCGCCCTCAAGCACCCGCCCTCAAGAACCTTTAGTTTTTGCAAGAGGCGGGAGTTCAAACTCCCTACGCTCATGGAGCGAATGGCCGAAAAATATACGTTTTAGTGTAAGGGGTTGACTTCCGAGCTCACAACTAGTGCTCAAGTTCTTGCTGCAGTTTTGTCGAGGCTCAATTTCTTAACCCTCCTATTAATAGTACCCAGTGCCTCCGCAAAAATAAATGCCAAAAAAATGTTTGTCAGCCATTGGTCGAGGGGCTCCAGTCCCTCCAAAGAACCTGAGCTCCTTGCCGGACAAAGGGTGACTTGGCTTCAGTGTCTACTGTACCTTCCGCCCTCTGCGAACAGCTCCGGGTGGTGTCGCTCGCACGGGGCGCTGGCGTGCTGGTGCCTGGAGTCGTAGGAAAAGTCGTGCGGCGGCAGTCCGATGTGCCTGGCCACCTGGTTGAGGGTGCCAGTGAAGTCTCCGAACATCTCCGAAGACTCCACGACAAGAATCTGCTTCGATTTGACGGGGGGGGTACGTATGTGTCTTTTATTTTAGGGGGGGGCGGTGGAATGAAATTTCCGTACGCCAACAAAATAATAAAGAAGGCCGTACGGAACACTACAGACCTGCCTACAAATGCTTCTTCAAGCGTATCTACCTTGCCCTAACGCTATTTCGAAAAATGATGCTTCTCACCTGTGATCGGGGATACACCCTCAACCATCTCTCCAGTTGGTCCACGTAGAGACCCCGGTGGAGCGGGTCGTGCGTCACCATGGCCTTCCAGCAACGTAGGAGGTCTTTCGCCCTTGCCCCCTCCCCCCGACACAGCGGCGTGTATGGCTTGTAGCTCGCCTCCCCCTGTTGTGTTTTTTTTTTCGATTATCGCCACATGGGCGGGCAAGGAACAAGTGCACGGGTTCTGCGCTTGAACGTGGCGGAAATATAGAATTCTGAGGACGTGTGTGGACGAATGGATGACAGCTACTACAAATATTCATATTTCCTGGGGTTCGCCCGAACACGAGAACAACAACGAGACCTTGTCGACCTAATATATGTGCCGACGGGTGTGTTTTGGCCGCCTCCTGCCGAAGAGCCCATGTTGACACAGCGGTGGTCCCTGCACTACAAGGCCGAACGGGGATCTTGCAGGCCTTTATATCGGCACCCGGCACCATCCAGAGCATGAGACAACTTGATATTCCACGCGTGCGCCTCCCGATTTCACTGGCCACACAGTAGTAGGGAGCCAGAGAAAAGAAGCGTCAAAATAACACGCAAGTTCTGAGGATCAGCGCACGCGTGTTGTAGCCATAATGGGACACTGCGACATTGCTTCACATGTAAAAACGGCTCACTTGTTCGAGGTACTCCTTGACCCGCCCTGGGATATGGAAATATGTTTCTAGTCGTTCCTCGAGTTGATCGAACGTTTCGCCGTCCCGTGTCCCGCACATCATCATTCGCAGGTGAGAGAAGTACCTGCGTCAATAGCGGATGGCAGGATATAGAGAGGAGGCACGGTAGAGATGGAGACAGTGAGAGCGAGGCACAGGAAGACGGAGAGAAACACACAGAGAGAGGGGTAAGGGGTGGGGGGCGGACAGAGAGAGAGAGAGACAGAGACAGAGACAGACGCACAGACAGACAGACAGACAGAGACAGAGACAAACGCACAGACAGACAGACAGACAGACAGACAGAAAGACAGACCCAACAGTCCTACACAGCAGCGCCGCCCGATTCACTCACTCTCAAACATACCGCCTACTGCCGATGAAACCGAAAACATCAAAGCCCCACCCCACCGAAAACCTTACCTCTCCGTGGGGTCTCTGAGAATCAGTACGAGTCTCGCTGCGGGAAGAACCATCCTCATCCGGTAGGGCGCAAGGGGAAAGAACAAGTACAGAGGCGACGACTCCACAGTCGCCATGGTGTCGCGCTTGCTAGGGTCGACCTGCGATTTCCAGGTGGGCGCGAGGGATCGATCCCCGCCGAGAGGGGAATAATCGCAAACACACACGGAGCACAGAACGCGGCGGAATTCGTGTCTGGTGGTACCGCTGCCACACCGACATTTGTTACCTCGGAGCAAAAAAACAAAAAATGCCTTTAAGTTTTGGGGGGAGCCATCGGGAGGGCGCCGGAGAAAATGGGCTGCCGCGTCAGGAGGCCTGCATGCCTCACCCAACCCCACCCCCACGAAAAAACACCAAGAAAAGACAACGCGCAGGAAAGACTTAAGCACCACACGAAAACCTCGCTGATAAGACTCAGCAAGAGGCAGGTCGATTTTGATAGTGGCGGGAGGGTTGGCGGCGGGGCGGGAGGCCCGATCCGAGAACGCGCGGAAGAGAGAGAGAGAGAGAGAGAGAGAGAGAGAGAGAGAGAGAGAGAGAGAGAGAGAGAGAGAGAGAGCCGTTGGGGCTGTAGAGAGCCGTTGACGTTATTGCTGGTAACCGTTGAAAGACCAGCGCCGCAGGTCGACGGGGATTTGTCGTTCAATGCACAATTGGTGGTACCCTCTACGTGCGAAGGTTGTACATTGGTCGCAGGCGTTTTGCCTTCGGAACAGGCCGGGCAGGTCAATCAACCACCAGGGTGGCATCGTTACAGGTTGTGATACTCGTCAATGGTGTGGGAAGTGTCAAACCTCAGTTTACGGAGGAGCTTTCTACAGAGGCACAAAAAACTGTCCCGTTCGTGGGTACCGCAAGTATTCAATGTCTCAGAGATAGTCGATGACATGGGTGCCTGGGACAGTGCGTTGAGACACTGTTTGAGGGCGGTCAAGAGACGCAAACCGTGGTGTGCACGCCCGTCCTCTCCATCCATCCGCAGTCCTGTCTCGATTTCTCTCTGTTAACCTATGTGCCTATCTCTGTCTCTGCCCCCCTCTCTGTCGGTATCTGTCTGCATCTGTCTCTATCTATACATGTATCGCGCTGTCTCTGTCTATCTCCGTCTGTCTGTCTGTCTGTCTGTCTCTCCCCCCCCCTCTGTCTTTCTCTTTCTCCCCATCTCATTCTAGGGCTCTCCTACGCAGAAGACGTCGAGCCAAGGCACGGCCAGAGGGCGCTCACCGCTTTCATGGCCCTGTCCGCGTAGGCCGAAAGGACTTCACCGGCTGCGCTGGGGTTGAGGCCAGCACCACCACGGCCATCCCCCGGCCACTCGTGACGCTTCTTGTTGGGATCACTAGGGAACCTGCGGGACACGACGAACCAAGAGGGACGGGCAGGGGAGAACAAGCGGCGGTGAGCGCGGAGGCGAGAACGGCCGTCAAAAGCGAGCAGAGAGACTCGCGAGGGGTTGTTGGTTCGCCCGCCTGATGCGTTCTCAAGAAACGTCGGAAACGGGTGCTTGGGAAGAACGTGTATTCTTGGAAGAGTTCAATATTCTGAAGGAACGCGTGCCTTCTTCGCTCTCTAACACTTTGCTATAGCGGCTGGTACGCATGTCGTCAGTGTTCAGCACCACGGTATGCTCGTTCCAAGGCCAGGCTCAACGCCTGACGAAGCAGGCCATGGAAAAGGTACGGAATCACGCTCGCCCAGGGCTGTGGAAAAGGGAGGTATGCCGGTAACGTCTCTGACAACATCAGGGCCAAGGTAGAAGGTACCATGCCAAAGCCACTTTTGGGGAGGTCAATCTGAAGGAACACCGGCCCCCTATCCCTTGATGAAACACCTCGCGCAAAAAACGAGAGGGAGAGCGAAGCAAGTCGGGCTCTGGGGCGGGACTCTCCGCCTCCCTATTCTCTGAAATTTATGCTGGATCGTTTCCGATGACTACTGTACCTGCGTTCAAGGCCACCGCTCTGTCAGCCTCCAACGATGACCACCTACCGACCTACCTCTCTCGGTCCCAACAAAGCTAACATAGCGTTCGTTACACACGCGAAAGGGCGGGACTATTCGGCGTCAAGTTGCTCACTCACCAGAACCAGTCGAAAAAGTGCGCCTCTTTCTGCCTCAACCCTGACAGCGAGGGGTGTGTCAGCAGATGGCTGCGGAGATTCTGCGTTCCCCCTTTCTGCAAACAATATTCCAGAAGTTATAAAAAAGCATATGTTCCACGGGTCGACGTGGTTGGGGAGGTCGGGGGGGCGTCAAGGAACAGATAAGCGGCCCGGTTCTGCGGTGAGAAATGTTTCGTTCGGATATCAGCGGGCGGCCGGTCTGCGACGTGGAGACACGAGGAGTCAGGTGATTGGTCATCAATCCCGATCCTCAAGGGGGTGGCAGCTGCTACCCTCGTCACAAATGTAGGCAAAATCGTCTTTTTCCGAGCTTCGTTCCCACACAGGTTTTCCGAAACAAACCGCCGTCCTGGATTCTTTACCCAGGGCATATGTACCGCGAAGAACTACCGCGGTAAAGCAGTACCGGCCTTGTCCGCCTGCTCCCTCCGTTGGGCGCCGCCCCTGGACGCCGATCGATCAAAAGCTTTCGTCAACAACTCTAACGTTCCCCCAGAGAGGAGCGGAGACAAAATAACTTGACGGAACAAGGAACAAACATCTTGGGTTGATGCGGGAAAAACTATAAGACGTAGCCCTTCCCCTTACTCTAAACGGCACTCGCCTGAGTCCCGATAATGATCGCCAGCGGGATAGACCTGGAGGCCTCGGGTCCCTTCCCCGGGGGCCGGACGATGGGAACTGGGAGGATGGCGTTGCCGCTGGCCGACTGCTCCGTCGCGTACGCCTCGAAGCTCTCGTAGCGCCTTAGGGAGAACGGCCCCTTGCCGCCACCGTCCCGGCGTTTTTATTTGTTTTTTAGGGCGGGGGTGTTCGATTGCCCGCATTTCGGCCGGAAAACATCGGTTGCACACGCGGAATATTGAGGAGGGTGTTGAGATCTCGCTGGTGCACGTGTGATGCGGCACCAGCAGTGCTAATTTTACGCGAAAATAGAACAAACGACACGCACCCCGCGTTCGACGTCTCAATGCTCTCAATAAAGAGGGGCCCGGAACATTTGTGCACGTTTCTCAAGAAAAACAACAATGAATTACGACCGAAAAGTGTCTCACCGAACGAGATTTTTACCACCTTTGATGTGCCGTGGCCTCTTTTCCCCCGAAGACCGACAAAAACTGCCTCTGGGGCCGGGGATTGGGTAGAGATCGATTGGTTCTCAGGTGGCAGGGTTGCGGAACATATCCATCCACCATTCCCTCCCACCAAATGTCGACGTTTCCTACGCGGGTCCCATCTTGCGAGAGTCCATCCATGTTTTGTTTCACCGCGAAGGTTCATCATTTTCCTGTGCATATTGTGGACGGGTTCCATGCTTTGTTTTCACTTTTTCGGGCCAATAGCCAACGACGGGCCAAATACCGTCTGGTGGGAGTCAAAACCGGTATTGTAGTAGTGGTGTGGCATGTTCGGCAGTCTCACCGGTGCCGATGTAGCGCTCTCGCCCCCCCCCCCGCCGTCGCCACCCAGGAACTCCAGCCGCGGAGGGGCACTCCCCAGGGGTTCCCCCTCGCCGTCCCTTTTCCGCACCCTCAACATATGGAAGGTCGGGATCGCGGCCATGGCCCTGCCGCCGCCGTTGACCGCCTCTCTCTTGCCGCTCTTCCTTGCCCGGGCGGCACCCCCCCTAAAGCCACCATCCCCCCAATCGCCGGCGCCCCCGTTTCTTCTCCCGCGACGGTCCCCTTGGCTCTCGGCACGCCTCCTAGCGCCGGAAACCCTCGAGAGGCCGTCCGATCCCCCGGGGCCTCGTGCAAGAGCGGTGGCATCAGCGGTGGTGAAGACGACCGCGGTGTTGGTTGTGTCGCCGCCGCCGCCGCCGCCGCCGCCGCCGCCCTCGCTCAGTTCTTCAGCGAGAGCGGAAGCCCTTCTTGTTTCTCCGCCTATGCGGGGCCCGCTTCCTCCGCTTGCGGCGACGGCTTCTCCTCCCCGGAAGCGTCGATAGCCGGCCGCTCTCCGTGGCAGCAGCGGCGGCGGCGGCGGCGGCGGCGGCGGCCGGGCGGACCCCGCCCTTGTCGGCGGCGCTTCTTCTTCTCCGCGCTGGAATGGTCGGATGTCGTGGGGGTAGCGGACGATGAGCAAGGCGCCGGCAACCACGCACGCGATCATCGTCACTGTTCTAATAGCGGTCGCCGAGGCAAGGCCGGTAGTAGTAGTAGAAGGCCGCCGTAGCGGTGGTGGTCGCCGTGCCCGCCGCCGCTCGCGCCAAGGTTGGGTGTCGGTGGCGGGGTTGGAAGACGGTGTCGTAGACAGCCGGCCGGTTTCAAGGCCTCGTCTTGGCACCAGCCGTTGCT